AGATAAATATGTTAGAAAATAAAATATGTAAAAAAATTAACATAAAAAATATAACATTGTGATCTAATTTAGCAATAAATAGAAAACATATTTTTAAAAATTAACGTTGATAATATGTTAAATTAGCACGGATATTTATTTTTTATTTATTTATCTTAGAATGTTTTAAAACTATATTATTTTTATGTTACTTACTTATAAATTTATTTACTTATAAATTGTGTTATTTTATTTTAATACTAAAAAATGTTAAACATCAATTTAACACAAAATATTCAAACATTATAATTACATTATGTTATTTGAATATCTTGTTATAAATTATTTTGAATATTTTATAACACTTGGTTCTATATTAATAATTAAACATAAGCACATTAATACAAACACGAGTATAAAATGTCTTTGAGTGTGCATGTTATTTAATTATGACAAAATATATAATATATCGCGTTCTTTTCTTTCGAATTTTAAAAATCTTTTTTAATTTTGATCGCAAAGTCAGTTTATAATTTTTGATAGAGTAATTCCGGCAAATATGCCGCGCTGGGATTTACGCCACAGAAATTAGATGAAATAGAAGGAACGGGGGTAATTTTCCCGTAACTACTCTGTTATATGCCTTTATGTTATATTAGTATTGTGTTATGATTTCAGCTACTTACTGTTAATATTAATGAATTTATTGTGAGTTGAATTTGTCACCGTAAGAAGTAATGCCATCATAAATTATAATCTACATAAAATGATTAATGTAGAGCGTGTAAAAGACTTAATGGTTATTTCATGATACATACGAGTAGTAGAAGAATAAAGCATGTTGTGTAACAAAATACAAAAGTGTTTTGTTTTCGTATTCTTTGTTTAATTTCTTGTATATTCCATCTGTGTGGTTTATACGGCATTTTTAGTGAGCGGGATTTATGCTCAAAGCATACAAAGTGTGCAGATTGAATTCAGCAACAATAAATACAAAATGCATTACATGAAGTATGTACCTCATGTCATAACACTTGTAATACATCTGAGAAGATTGTAATTATTATTTATTACTTCATATACATATTTATCATTCTTTTCTTATTCCTTAATAAAACTTTATAAACTCATTTTATAAGTTATTGTGTTATATTACGTTTTATTTGTAGACATTATTTATGAATTTAAGCCATACATACTCCCCCCTCCTCCCCCTATGAGTAGCCATATATCCCATCCCTATGAGATATACGGCAAAGATGCAAGAGTTTAAGAAAATTTATTTTTTAATACGAAATATAAATTCGGATTTCTAATATTTTTTTCATAATAGTAGACACAACAGTACACAATTTTTACTGATATAATTCGTTTACTTTAAACATAAAAAATACTTAAAACAAAAAATACTTAATAAATTAAGTTTTTGATAGGTGCGACATATATACCAGAGTCATCCTAATGTTAAATCTAATTTGTAATGAAGGTTACAAATAAATGTTTATATTCTTCATGCAAATTTGTAAAGTATATAATGTTTTTAATTGATAACGACAAAAAATGTGTTTGTCAGGATGATGAGATGCGATATGTACGATGAACAGTGCACATTCGTAGAGTCATGATCATCTGACCATCTGTATATCAGTGTATATCCGCGGCGTTGCATCCCGGCTTACCACAAATCCACAAATTGCCACCGTTGACTTTAATTAATGCACACTTCTCCCTATTTCCTACCATCGATTACATCTATATCTGCCGTCTGTTCAAGCTCAGCTGCATTGCACTTCTATATCTCTGGCCTCTGTGTTGTCCATAGATGGAGAGTACGGTGGCGAGCTAGGAAGGTGTAATTGTGAATCTTGTTTTATTATAAGCATTTATTAAATTTATTATCTACTCGTATGTCGAGTGTTGAATAAATAATATTAAATGGAAGCTCATACCAAAATCTTTTGATTGATGATAATTTTTCTTTTCTGATGAAAGTTACTATGATCGATCAAGGCAGATGAAGAAGGAAATTCGAAAGAAAAATCCACGCACGATATCGCCAGCTTATCTGCGCATTAAATATGATTCTCCTCGTTAGAGGATCTAACGAACTTTCCGACATCCGGTGTCGTTTTACACCGGCGCGGCGCTCACCTATGAACGCATTATTATTCCCTTATTGTATCATACAACCCACTCTGGTGGAGTTTGCAACTTTAATTTAACCCGTTACCAAAGCGTAGCGCCTGCCATCCAACATCGCGGCTTAATACGAGCGCGCATCCGACGTGAATTAATCTGAAACGAAGAAGGAGCCGTTTCTGGTTTAGTTGCTGAGTTAGAAAATTGTTCGTTCGGAATAGCACGGGCACTCCGCACGGGCAGGAATACGAAGGGTGTAAAGATGGAACTGTTGCGACATCGTGCAACACCATCGTCTCGCGCGGCCTTAACTCTTCATTGCATAACCTTAACGCTGGCGTTAGACTTGTAACCATAATAGACTTTGTTCTCAACTCGTTTCCCGACCGTAGCGCATTTTGCGGAACACCATCTCGGAAAGTACAAACTTGATCCATCGTGTCTGTATTACGGGAAAACTCAATGTTACGTCGCAGCGCAATCTATGATTTTATCGCATGGTAATATTGTCAATGTTACATTGCAGATAATTAAAGGGACCACATGAAGATGTGAACATTTTAATATGCAATCATCATTAATATTTATACTTGGTACACTGTTAAATTTATAATGTCAAATTATACCTAATTTCAATTACTTTTAATCATTTCCATAAATCGCTAATGCTCTTATATATCGTTAATTTAATTTAACTTAAGAAAATGTATCTATTAAATTTAACTCAAATTAAAGTACCTGCGTTAAAATGAACGTTGTTTATTTTGAAATTAACCACAAAAATAGGTTGCTTTATATTTTGACAAACATGAAAGTTAAAAATAACGAAATGTTATTTAAGGGATTGAGTTACTATCATCACTCCTTTGATATCTAGCAATAGTGTGTGTAGCACAATTGACGAATTTTTTTATAAAAAAAATCAAACAAGTCTTAAAAGTTAAAGTTTCAGGAAACGAAGAACTCGTTATCTTTAAACTGTTCATATAAATATGATATTCTCATCCGAACATATAATAAATATAACAACAAAAATTTAGGTTTCAATTAATATTTTGAGGATTCATTTTAAAAAAATATAAACTTTTGGATTTGTTTCATTGTATGAAAATTTTATATTACTACCTCTTCATTCTATAGCATTTTATATTTATGTTTTTGTACAACATTAATAATAATAAAAATAAAAAATGGAAATATTATTTAAGTATAAGTGATAATATTATTTTTTTTTAAACATAATAATAATAATAATAATAATAATTTTTTACCTTTATTTACAAATTTTATAAATTATTTTTATTAACAAAAATGTCCTTTGCAAATGTCGAACTTTTATATTTCTTATTTTCTGTTTGATTCTTACCGAAACAAAATTATTCATAAAGTGAACAGAAAGAGAGAATTTTTTACGCCATAATTTTTTAAAAGTGATCTTGTTTGAGAACACAATAAAAAGAAATTATAATCTTATTTGACTTTTATGGGAAATATTTCAATTATATAAAATTAGAAAATGATTTACGTTGGCTTCTAGAATCTAAATAAAAAAATAATCTTATTTTGTTTTTATGAAGACCCTTCAATTATACAGAGTATTTTATTTTAATCATCCCAGGCGAATAACTTGAGAAGACTGGGATTAAAAAAAATTTTAGATCAAAGTTATATGACTTTGAGAGGAATACAAGATGGATTTGAGCTTGGATTATCAAGGACAGAGCAAGGTAACATTGAATCTTTTAATTAGAATCCTCCATTTTTCATTGTATATTTTCGTAGTTTGCAACGAGAATTTTTCAAAACTATAATAAAACATTTTTTCATTAGATACTTTTCAAGTTATAATTTATAATGTTTGAAAATACCGTCGGCATTTGTGTGTGTGTGTGTGTGTGTGTGTGTGTGTGTGTGTGTGTGTGTGTCTGTGTGTGTGTGTGTGAGAGAGAGAGAGATGATTAGCATTACCCAAGATTACCAAGTTCGATCGACAGCTAAAAATCTCTTGAATGCTGTTCAGGATCATAATCTGAATAACATTTCTCAAGATCAAGGCCAATCCAAGATCCATTAGAAATTTGATTTTTATATAAAAATGAATGTTTAGAGTAAAAATGAAAAAAAAAGGAATTTTTAATGGCCTTAATCTTGGCAAATGTTATTCAGGTCAAAATCTTAAACACTATTCAAGAAGTTTAGCCGTCAATCGAATACCTTGGATAATGCTAATCAGCTAATGTCGAGGTACTATAACTTTCAAGCCTTTAACGAAAAAATATTTTATTATAGTGTTTTGAATAAGCTCTCGAGGTATATGTAATGAAAAATGGGAGTTTCCATTCAAAGTGACCTTGTTCTGACCTTGACAACATTATCCAAAAATAGTATCATCTTGTATTCGCTTCAAAGTCACATAACTTTTGTCTTAAACTCTTTTCAATTCCACATCTCCTTCTCGAATTATTCATTTGGGGCGATTAAAATGAAACATTGTATATATAATACAATTGGAAAATTTTTTACGTTTAATTCCGGAAGAACGCATCTTATTCTTATTCTTAGAAGTTATGTGTTTCTTACATACAGCAATATTTTCAAATAATAATAATAGATAGTTATTTTTTCACATGGCACAGTTAAAATCAATTAAAATTTAATTATAACAGAAAAATTATAACGAACATAATATTTTTACGTATAATATATCGCGTATATTTTACGTATATTTTTACGTATATAACATGTTCAAATGGAACATAATATAAAGAAGAGTTAATTGTAAATGTAAATGTAAATGTAAAATTTGTAATTGTAAAATTATGTAATAATAAATAAAGAAGCATAAAGTAGGAGATGTAATAAATTTATCTTTAATGTTTCAGTTTCTCCAATGATCTTCGTGCCGAATCAGCTTGTAGGTGCGCCGACTGGCACCAATGTAACGATTGATTGTCACACAGAAGCTTATCCCCGTGCTATGAGCTACTGGTTTCTAGGAGATGAGATGATTCTCTCCAATGAGAAGTATGCGACGAATATCATGGAGAACAGCTACCGCGCGCACATGAGACTCACCATCAGAAACTTGACAGCGAGTGACTTCGGTAGCTACCGGTGCATTAGCAAAAACTCGCTGGGCGAGACGGAAGGATCCATCAGATTATACCGTAAGCTGACGTGCATTTTCTAGCCCGTTCGTGTACGTGGACAAACAATTTTTTCCCCCTGACCGCTATCGTTATGCATCTACCGCTGCCGCTTGGTTGTGTTTGCCATGATATTATAGCACGCGGGGACGCGGTTCGCGACGTGAATAATTTAAAAGTGAAACGACTTCTACAAATCGCGAATTCTCCAGCCTTTGTTTAATTTCGCCCGAGTCGAAGATTTATTTAAAGCTGGAGTGGATGTTAGCAGTAAATCGGCTAAATCGCCGAGAGAGGAAATGTCTCGCGCTTTCCCACTCCTCATCCCCTTCTACGCTGGATATATCCTACCCGATCCGTGCAATTCCCGCTCGAAGATAAGATGACCCCAGTTAAAATATGAATAAGGCGGAGTTAGAGTTAAATTTATTGGCCGATATTTAAGAAGTTATATGACGTCATTAAAGACGAATGATTTTTATTTCAGCCATTCCGAAGCCATCAGCAGCACCGAAGGCGACGGAGATCAAGAGCAGCGCTAACAATGAAGGTGAGAATCTTATTGAATATATGCATTCTGACGATTCGAAAATCGATATTATCGGCGGACTCTAACAATTCCCACGTGAAGGCAAACTCATTATCCACATTTTATTCCCAAATCATAGAATCTTAAAGTGCTTTCTTTACCTTTTTCACCTTTTTTGCTGTTATATTCAATCGCAAACGAAAAAGTAATAGTGCGTCTCACTTGAAGAAAAAATAACGTTAAATCAGAGGGAGACAAAGCGTAAAAAGGATAATCTAAATTAAGGCAATATGTCACGTCTTTCATGGATAAATAATAGTAGTAATTATTCGAATTAATAGATACCGCGCCGATGATCTTGACTTTGACATATATTGTTAAGGTTATAACTATGAGTGACCTTCAAAAAGTTTTAAATAGTGGTCAAAAGCTGTTTGTTTAAAAGTTATTAATAAATAAAGTTTAAAAAATAATGTCTTACTTTTATGTTACGGATAGGCATATGACCATGCAAAGCAAAGTCCACTTTACCTTTCTCTCCTGTTTAAGAGAAAGTCGATTGCTCCTTGGCACAGGAAAAAATAGGGTGGATTCTCTTCGCATAGAAAGTCATATACATCCCTAAGTATTATAGAAAAATAGTTTTTAATATAATTGTATATAATAGACATAAGATATTATTTTTTAAACTTTATTTGTTAATAACTTTTGGACCGGCCTAAAACTTTTTAAAGGTCACTCAAGATCATGATCTTGACAACATACAGTAAGTGAAAAAAAAAATTTGTACAGAGAAAATATTTTTTAGAAAAACTTTATTTTTAAAAGATAAATATTATCCGAGAAATGAATTATCGATACGATGATTTCAACATCAATTCGATCTGGATTCGACGATTATTTCTTGGATATTTAACAATTTATTTATAAAGAATAAAATAGATTGTATGTTACCTAAAATTATATATACAAAAATTATATACTTGAAAAAGATGTTTACTAATTATATTATCTGGAAAATATATTATCTAAAAAATAAGCGAAAATTAAAAGTTGTATTGTTTAATTGGATACTCAAAAAAAAATTGTACAGTCTAGAAATTCAGCTTTTAAAATTAGGAATACATGCGAAGCTTGTTTGCTTATGTTACAACAGAATGCATTCAGTGTATAAAATTGTATAAAATTGTTAATTAATTGTTTATTTTCTACAAATAAGACTTTTTTTATAAAAAATTTCCTTGTATGAATACTTTTTGCTCTCACCAAATGTCAAAGTCAAGATCATCATTGGTGCGGTGCCCATTAATCTAAATAATTATCGTAATAATTTGCATCTTTGAGCCTCGATCATTTAGATAACGTTGAGAGAACCTCAAAACATTTGTGACATTTTTTTAAAGATGTATGTGTCACTTTTTAAAGCATTACCAGATATTTTATAGATTATTCTATTATCTGTATAAAATTTAAACATAATTCTCTTGGTCAAAAAGTCAATTTATTTTTTGTTTATATTCTTGCAAAATCATGTTTTGTAATACTTATTTGATGCAAATTTGATGAGAATGTAGCATTACAAATTAAATCAAATTTTTTATACATTAACGAAGCTCTAATAGATATTTATACAAAAGTTTATTTAGATTTATGGACTCGTTTTAAAGTTATTTATCTAAAAGAGCAAAATATGATTATTACTTATAAGCTGTTTTAAAATAAATTATTTACTTTTTGCAGTTGATTTCAGAGTGATTTCAGGACCAAAATTTATGATTATTTTTTTGGCTGATATAATTTTAATAGCTGGTATTACAAAGCCAAAATGTTCTTAATTTTCTCATAGATATAATAAAAATAGACTACGCGTTCCTATAAATTTTGTATAAAGTCACTCTCGGTTTAGAAAGAGTGAGGTAGTTTCAAGTATGCATGCGCATTGCGTGCATTCGTGTGTGTATGTGTGTGTGTGTGTGTGTGTGTGTGTGTGTGTGTGTGTGTGTGTGTGTGCGTGCGCGCGCGCGCGCGTGGCGCGTGTCTCTCTCTCTCTCTCTCTCTCTCAAGTACTGAGTTGAAGAGAGCTAATAAAGAGAGAGCTAATTAAGTTGAAGAAAAATACTAATATGTTCAATTCTTTCTAACAACACACAAAAGCTAAAGAATGCGTTCACTCAAAATCTGGTAATTAGCTATTCAATAATTAAGACAAATAATTTTAATCAAAGATTTGGTTAATGTAAAGAAAAAAAAATTTAGAAAAATAAAATTATTTTTATAATAAAAATAATTTTACTTTTCTAAATTTTTAATAAGTATTAAAACATAATAATATAACCAAGTAATAATTACTCATAATTAATATTTTGAAACATAAAATTATTTTTTGTTATATTAATCGTTAAATATTTGATTGAAATTATTTCATTTAACATTTGGTTTATATTATCAAACTTTCTTTCAGTGCAGTCTGTATTTATTATGTCTATGAGTTTTCTAGAAAATTATTAGTTTTCAACAAGAGAAATCTACGTCAGTTGAGTGATGGGAAATGTTCATCGGATGGGAATTATGCTCGATTGTTTCGCATTCTTCTAATAAAGTACACAATGTTTCCACAGTTAGTCTTTATATTAAGCTCACAGAACTTGCGTTCATGTATTATTAAAGGAGGGCGAATAACTTGGGCAGATGCCTAGGTCAAGTCCCAGTGGTTCTACTGCCTCGATGTTCTCCGTTCTCCCCTCTTCAGTCTCGCGAAACCAATCTCAATATACTGTATTATTAACGCCATACAAGACTAGGCCACGATGGTATTACCGCCATTAAGCTTTGCAATTTTACTGTACCGGTCTCATCGACCGCTAGGTGGATTATCGTTATTTCGAAGCGCCTAGGGGGAGGAACTAACCGTTCTAATGAATAACTGTTACTCGCGAATTTTCGCGAGCAGATAGTACCGGCTCTGTCCGATATTGATGTCGCTATGTGGCTGAATTTTCTCGCGACCCGACGATCGTAAAAGCTGGAAGATCGTAACCGAGATTTACGAGCGTCGGAGGTGTAAGTCCAACACGCGATTTCTTTGCGAATTGAGCTGAACCGGCGTGATCGTACATGCGAATAATGGTAATCGAAAACGTTCTTTCGATGGAGATGTCTCGCTACGTCGGAGTAGAAGCGTCGTCGTAACTTCGTCGTACCCATTATCCCCCAGGCTAATGTAATTTACTTGTATTAACGACTCACTCGTAGATGCGCATACTTTGCGTGCGAGATGAGACAGCGCTTTTACCATAATGTATGGCCTCGACTACTGATTAAATATTACGAGAAACTTTGGCGAAATCGGCAAGGGACGCGTCGCGCTCTCTCTCTCTCTCTCTCTCTCTCTCTCTCTCTCTCTCTCTCTCTCACACACACACACACACACACACACACACACACACACACACACACACACACACACACACACACCATCGAATCAATCTTAATACTACGAGGATTATTAATGACCTAGTCAAGGTATGCAATAACTCACGAACACGACGTTAAATGCCTAGCAGTTTCCAATGGGACTGCCGTTCGTCTTATCTGCCCAGATAAGATTACGCCATTTGCGGAACGATCTGCGATTCGAAATGCAGAAGATGCACGCGATGACATATCAAGAGTCATTCAAGAAAGGAGAAGGCAATATGGAGAATATTTACTCTTAGAAAGAAATTAATTTTATACGAAAAACGAGAAGATAAAAATAATTGAGATAATCAATGAATTTTCTGTGAAGAAATGTAAAATATATATAATTGTTTATTACGTTTTTCGGAAAGGCAAATGACGTATACAATTAACTTGATATTATAAAAAATGATGTTGATATGTGCTAAGGTTTTCATTAGGTTTGTGCATTAATCAAGATTTACCTTTCCAGCTTGTCCAAATCAGAGAATACAGATTTTCATTTTATATTGCGATATTACATCGTTGGCTTAACCAGTGACCTAATTAGGCGCATTTAAAATTCAATTACTGACATCGTTGCGAGATACTAGATGGGATGTACACGGCATAAAGTGAGATTGCATTGTTGATGGTAGTACACAGATACTAGATAGCATTATCATTTTTAAAAAAAAGATCACGGAATTATACCAAAAATTTAATTTTCCAAAGAGTATTTGAACAGTTTGTTAGATGCACAATTGTCATTTGCAATTCGAATTACAGTTTTATTTTTGTTAACAAGTTTTATTTTTATATATATCTGTTATTATATTTTTATATATATCTTTTTCCGATATATTAAATAAAAAATTAACTAATAATTTATATAAAAGATGGCCATATCTTGGTCATCAAACGTTTGTGCTTTGATATATGATTGATGATATTTGATATATGAATAATGATATATGATTATATTTTAAATATATAACTTTCGCTTTGATGTCCTAAGTGTGGCTGTCTACTTCTTTATTTATTGTTTAAAAAATTAAGTAATGATATTTGGATATATATATATATATATATATATATCGCACCCCCGCAAGAAAAATGACACAAATGTAAAATATAAAATTATTCAGAAAAAGAGGAAATAGAAAAAAAATTGCGTATTTTAAAATTACTACTTACAATAGTGATATATATAAATTAACTAGCGCGAATAATTACAAATTGCCTGTTTTAAGCTTCAAGTCTAAAAATAATGTAGATATTAATATTGTTATAATGTTATGTTAGATCTTTAAAAACTATTCACATTGTTCTTCTTTCCGTTTACTTTTAAATTTTTCTTTTCAATTTTCTATCTGCATTCAAAATAATATGATATTCAAGTAATTTCAATGTGTAGAATTACATGGCCTCCAAACACAATTTATTATACAATTTGTTAATTTTCAATTTTATTATTTTTCAACAATTTAAACGTAAGTGCAAAATATTAAAATTTGTTTGCTAAAAAACAAATTAAATTATTAAATGCTACATCTTATTGTAATTTACATTTCTTGTTTACG